CAATAAGAAAAGTAACCCAATTTTAAAATGAGTGAAATACATGAACACTTTCCCAAAGAAAGTATCGGGAGAACATAAAAGCACACACACACAAAAGATGATGTATAACACTAGCTTTAGGGAAAGGCACAATGAGCTATCAAATAGCCAATGTACTCAGAAAAGAGGGTGGCTGATTGCTGCTCTAACTTCTGGTAAGACACTAAATCGCCCAGCAAGTCAGATTCATGGACTCACAGTGCACATCTCTCCTTTGCAGTCACTCTTATTCTACTCTACTTGGGACTTTCATAGTCCTAGGCTTCCTGTGCTGTATAAAAGCATCATCACTGAGTGAGGGCAACTGTACAGAACCCTATTCTCTTGTAAGGCTTGAAGTTAGCCAACTTGACAGTTCAGTTCAAGTCTCTCAATACTGAAAATTTTTCCATAGGAGAAAGCAGGCTACTTTGTATTGCAGCAGGACACAATAAAAAAACCTAGAGGTTGATAACTGAAGGTCTTCTGTTACTATGATTCTAGGCAAGTCACACGTCAGAGCCTCACGTTCCTCATCTATAAAAATCAAAATCTTACAAAGTGGACACTGCCATGTGCCCACCCAGGAAATCTATCCCCTTCTTTCTTGCCTAGTTTTCTAATCCACAAGACTCTGAGGCTCTAATTAACCTCATATGCTTTGCCAATGACAGCATAAGAGTGGGAGAATGACCCATATCTAGCAAATGAGACATGAGGCCAGATCTCCTGGGGCTCCAGGGATTTCCTTGCTTCAAAATAAAACACTGGGAAACATCATTCTCTCTTCTGACATTGTTGTGTCAGCATTTCCTTCCTGGGATTTCACAGCCATCTTGCGATCCTGAGTTGAGCTAGTAAGAAGGTAACACAGAGGATGGCAGAGCAAAAAGACCGCAAGAATGTGATTTATTGATATCATCACTTATTGAATTAACCACCTTGGAGTCATATTAAATCAGGACGTCTTGCTATATGATAGTTTCCTTATTTAAGAGAATTTAATAATTGGGTGTTTGTTATGTGCAATTGAAGGTAACTGTGGACTTGATATAAATGCTGTGAAGATTCAGTAACAGACACTAAATAAAATATCTAGCTAAGTACTTCTAAGTAGCCAAGTCTTTCCTCCTTTTCCAGTTTACATCCATTAACAACCCATAGGCCTTTTTCCAAAAATGTAGCAGGGAGCTCCTCTATCTCTTTAAGAGGAAAAGTTCCTTGTCTTCAGAAGCTGCAGCAGTCCAGAACAAGAGGACAGTATGTTCCTGCAGGGTAAACCACAATGGCCTAAAAAACCTTGATAAGGTGTCCGAAGACAGCCCTTGTGCTTAAATGAAGACCTTACAAATGCACCTCATGCCCAGCTAGTCCACTTTTTCAACTACTCCTTAACACAGCTGCTTAAAGAAAAGCTGCTATCATGCTCTGTGCACAATCTAAGCTTGCCAGGTTTTCTCAGCTTATAATTAATGTCCTAAAAGAAAAAGAGAGAGAGAGAGAGAGAGAGCTATTTTTCCAATATGCTGCTGTTTTCTATTCAAGCTACACATAGCAGGTTGAGGATGTCCCAGGTTCTGAACTCAAAAATAGTCTTTTCTTTGTACAAGACCCCTTTCTTTTAGTCACCAAACCCTAACTTCATGAGATTCTAGGATTCTGCTAAGCCAAGGGATACCTAAAAACTACTTAGTTTCACTTTGCCCCAAGGCACTTGCTGGAATCATATTGCCAAGAGACAGGGCAGAGGGAAGCTGCTCAACTAATACTGAAAAGGGATGTCCAAGTAGGCTAGGACAAGTCTTAACTCAAAACCTTGACTCTTAAGACTAGGTAAGTCAGGCAGTGGGCTCTCATTATCTTTTTCTCCTAAGTAACAACCAAAAGTCAAAACTCTTAATTAAAAAATCAACCATCAATCTGGCCCTCCCTGGTGGCGCAGCGGGTTAAAGCCCAGCACTGAGAATCTAAAGCCGCTTCCGCATGAGTTCGATTCCCGCCTGCCCCGGAGGTGACCACATGGCGTGGCAGACCTCTCCTGACCCGCCCGCTGCTCCCCTCAGCAGTGTACTTCGTCGATCTGCCTGTTCTGCTCCCCACTCTGTCTCTGGTGAAGCCTGTTGCCGCCCCTGAGCCTCTGGCCTGTACCCCAGTTCTGTATGCACAAATAAATAAATCTTTAAAAAAAAAAAAATCAACCATCAATCTAGTTTTAATATCAATCTAAAACTAAAATTTACGGCAAACGTGCCACAATCACCACATACTTTGATTTGCTCTGATAAATACTTCTGCCTCTTTAAGGATTATAAATTTAGTTTAAATCTAATTTCATAAATTTTATCCCATTGAGAAAAATCTCCTTCACTTTCTAATTTGCTCTTGAAGTTCAACCAACTTCCTAAATCCTTGCTGCTGAAAAACAGGATGACTTACTCTCGAGACTCTGGCAAGTGGGAGCCACAGGTTAGCTCAATTTGAAAAGTCCTAACACGTGGTCTTAGCGGAATGCTAGGCCTACTTACATACACACTAGTTACCACTAAGAATTTCTCCCTGGGTCCTGCGCCAAAATCTGTCTTCCTCCCCCAGTACACAAAAATAACAATACTTTACAGTAGCAGAGAGGGATGCCAGAACTTATATGTTTGATAATTGTACCAACAGCTTGAGGCACAAAACTGCAGTCTCCAACTTGGGGTGAGAGTGAGAAAAGATGAGAGTAATCTGCCTAAGTTACTGCTTATCTGAAGGTACAGGAAGGCTAATTCCAATCTGTGTACTCAATTATCACTTCTTGATTCTATAGTCATGAAACAGATTTCTAACTCGTTCAAATCTATTCATAAAACTTTGACCTCTTTGATACATGTGAGGGCCCTGAGGTGACAAAAATGCAAATAGATAGTTTCTGTTCCTAGATCACAGGCTCTGGGAAAAACAAGTCATAATAATAAATAGAGCAAGTTGCTAAGTGCAATCCAGTGCACTGAAACACCATCTATGACACTAGTTAGAAAGAAAATTACATTTGTTTATTTTGTTCTGTTACAAGTATCTCCCAAGGATAGGAGAAAGCTGGAGGTGGTGGTGGTGTTGAACAACTTGGAAGTCCTAGTTTTTAGTCTGAAGTTTGCCCATTGCTTAATTTCAATAAAAAATGGAGATGACTATATTCATTTAAGATCCCGGAGACAATGGATTGTAAACTGAGAATATTCCCTTCTTGCTGCAACAATTCATGTTGCTAATGATACTCATCTTGGAACCCAGTACTCTTGATTTTTTTGTCCCTTCATGAATATCAGTCCAAAATATACAAGGTGTCATTTAGTGATTTGACAGTCACTTTAGGTTCTACTTTCTCTTCTTATCCCTTAGTGTTTCCTAAAATTTTTTTGTTTGTTTCCTAGAGCTGTGCACTATGTTTCTTTCATTCTATTCCTTTTTTTATGTTATACTGTTCATTCGATGGCTTTAGCTACCTCCTCTGAGTATGAATTCTGTATCTATATCTGCTACTTTGTAGTCTTCCCTAAGCACCAAAACATAAAATGTTTGCTGGAAACATTAATCTCATTGCCCATGGAAACCTAGAAACTCAAGCCTAAACAAGGCTAATTGTCTTTATAAAATTCACCATCTTCCTTCTGGGATCTCCCCTCTCCCTCAATCTTGGTTAGAGGAATGCCCCAATATACTCACTTGGTCAAGCAGAAATCTGACATCAGCCTCTATTCACTCTCCTCCCCTCCACCCCTGAGTCTCACTAATTCTATCTCCACCCCTGAGTCTCACTAATTCTATCTCCACAGTGTCACTCAAATCTTTTCTTTCCTATCTTTGTTGCTATAGCCTCCTAGTCCTGATTTAGTCCATCAATCCACCCCTAAATTAGGAAACCAATTAGCTGCAAATTAACTACAAATATCCCATACCAAACCTTAAGCTCCATAGAAAGTCAGTTTTCTTCATTTTTGAACTGTATCTGCGGCACCTTCAGAGCACTGATGTATACAGTGCTTTGCATGTTTGTTGAATTAACAATTGGAGGCGTTGTGAAGTATGACTGCACATAGTATGCAGCTTCAACACTTGGAATTTGTTTTTACCCACTTTCCTCCTTTAGAAATAATGATTTTGCTCTTGTTACAACCTACAATTCTAATTACAGAAACATAACAGAAATGTATTAATCTGAGCAGTTTGCTTTCATAATCAGGGGGAAAAAATGAGACCGCACTTTAGAAACAGAAGCCACTGTTGTCTTTATAAAACACAGAATTGTGCTGTTGCTGTTGCTTGCTTCAGAAGGAACTGTACATTACTGCTGCTGGGATAATTTTACAGTGGACTGGACAAGGTACAGCTCAAAGCAGGACACAAACACAAGTCTCAAAGGGAAACAAATGCAAACAAGTACACAGCTGTGGGGCTCCAGGGACATTTCCCCATCCATGCTGGACTTGAGGGATAAAAAGTTGAGAAACTAAAGTGAAGCCCAGAGTAGTCACACATGCCCACCAAATGGCTGCTAAGTGCAACCTGCCCCACCAATCAGGCTGGACTGTGTGTATGGAAAGTCATTTCATTTTTTCCTTATTGCTACTACAAGGGACTCAGTGCATTCGACACACTGTACTTGCACAGTTCTTGGAGGCATTTCTCTTTTCCTTCTTAAAGAAGAAAATCTGCCCTCCCTACCTTGTTCTGTTTTGAGCCCATTCCTCCACTCCATTTTTGGGGGCTCCCAAACAGCGGCCAGAGGTTCTAAGTCAGTAGGAATAGAGTGAGGGGAGAGCACCAACCTAGCCTCTCTCCCTGCCCAGGGAGAAGGCAAGTCCTAATAAATGGGGTAAAGAGGAAACTGAGATCCCTTCCCCCCAAACCACTTAGAAATCAAATAGGAAAGCATGCCCTGCATAGCCCTGCCATGACCAGCTTTTATGAAGGAAGACATCCCAGCTACCACCCTGGGCTGGACTAGGCCTAGTAAATATAAATAAAACAACTTGATTCAACATAGTTTCCCAAACTGCATTTTGGCCAGTTTAGATGACTTCCTGATAGGGGAAAGAACTTCTAATCTTCTTTGTTACACATGATGCTAAGTCTAAAACACCGTCCAACCAGCCATACAAATATTCCACGGGCCAGCTAAGAAGTCAAAGTGTCCCCTTGGCTATCCATCTTTGAGTGCTAGCCTCAGTGACAGAATTTATTTTAGACAATAAAAACTGTCTAAAAACAATGTGGTTTTGCCATCTAGTAGGTGGGAATAAGGAGCTTCTTAGGAGGGTTTCACACTTTTAGGTACCTTCTTTTGCAGCATTATTTAATTTCCCAGCAACCACAGTCCCAGGCTTATCCCCCAAAGGCCAGCAGTAGCACCTCAACCTCCAACGGATCAGGCTAGATTGGAAAAATGACCATTGAACAGTGTTCTCCTTTCCTATATTTATCCAAACTTTCTCCATTGTCTCCCCATCACTCCCTTCTTCCATGTTCATTCCCCCCAGCCCTCCAAACCTGGATATACCCAAGTAGTTTATCTCATGGACAGTCTCAAAAAGGAAGACTCTAGGTAGACAGAATTAGAACTAGATCTTAAAAAAAAAAAAGCCATGAAAGAAACCAACTCCAAGGAGTTGACAGGTATGGAAGCTTCCAGAAACGCTTTGATTCATGCCAGTTGTGCAGACCTGCTATTCTGCCTTCATGTAAGCTTAAGGGCAGTCCAGCCAGCCAGAGAGGACATCACTGGGTTTGGGGAACAGATTCTTGGTCTTCTGCAGCCAGGGAACTAAGCCTGAAATTGCCAGCTAGTAGTGGGATCACTGTAGCCATGCAGAGAATTCATCACCACAGAGGCAGGCAAGCAGGCAGGCAGACCAGCAAGCAAGCTGAATGAATAGAAAAAAAAGGAAAAGGAATCCCGAATGAGAGAAAACATGACAAGAAAGGCAAGAGAATGAAGAGAAGGAAGCAAGAGACCTGTCTAGGAGGATGAGCCTGGGGTCACCCAGCACTTCCTCAGAGTTTAAGAAGCACCACTTAAACCAAATCAAAGAAAGCGACAGCTTCTTAAGCGACCACTTCTTAATCTGCATGCACCACCTTTCAAACAAGAATGCTCCTCAAGGTTAAGGATATTTTTCAAGTCTCCAAGATTAAAAAATTAAAAAATCAAAGCATTCATTTTCTTGTTTTTCCCAAAACTACTTCTCTTGCTTATATTTCTTGAACGGCGTGCATAATGCCAAAGAGCTAAAAGCTGCACTTCAAGTTCCAGCTCAAAATCCAATGGAGAGAGTGAGGCAAAGAGAGAAAAGGAGAAAACACAAATTTGTTGCTGAGAATAGGTGGCTACCACCAGCTTCAATATGAACATTTGCAAATGCTGGTGAATGACTGGACCCTCTAGGAATAGTGCCCTGATCCCAGACCCAAAATGCACCCAAAAAGAGAACATGCAGAGCCCACTGTCCCAAGAGAGCTCCCCTCCCCAATGGGTGACGGAACACGAAGTAGACAGTATATGAAGGCGATGGACAGGGCACATGGAGTGTCGGCATCACCCTCTTTAGGCACTTGTGTAAGGAATGTGGCTCTCCAGTGAGCTGCCTCCTCCCAGAGCCCTCCGTTTTGTTCTTCAGCTGGACTGTGCCTGTGGGGCACTGCATGCTGTAGCCAGCAGGAAAGAAGTAAAGGAGGAGTTACTCAACAGTCCTGATGCCTTCTCCATAATCAATGTTTGTGCTACGGTTTGTGAAGTTGCTGAACAAAGTAGCCATCCAGAACAGACTCTGAGATAGACTGTTTTGCATAGCAAATCTGGGTCTGTACAAGGGTTGCTGGAAAGGGGAAATGGTAGCTTTAACTGCACAAGCCAGGATTCAGACTGGCCTTCCTCTGGCTGGCCTCCAAGTCTGGGTGAGGTCTAAAGTGTCATGGCTTCATCACCAGAATGGGGCAAACCAAAGCCCAGGCTCCTCAAAAAGAGGAATTTCCACAATGAAGCTGCAACTCTTCCTCCCAGGAAGTTGGGATAGGAAAAAATAAACAGTCAAGGAAAGAGGGGCTCTTGTCTCAAGGCCAGCAGGCACCAAGCTAGAACCCCCTATTTTTCTAGTTCTGCAAAACAGCCATACCCTATCTCTATTGAGGGAGACCAAAATAATTTTTTTTTTTAAAAAAAACCCATGCCACCCACTCACATGCCCTAGTGGGAAACCAGGAAAAATTCATTGTGTAAACAGAAGCAATAGGGAGCAGCAAAATCCCTCAGCCTGTCCACTGGACACACTGGAATCTGGGGTGAACCAAAGTGTCAAGAGGACAATCCAGAGGAAGGAAGATGCACTTGCAGGAAAGAGTGCAGGGCAGTGCAGAGGAGGGAACCTGTAGTAAGAAAAAGGTATTATCTGCACAGAGGAAGGCTGGAGCCTGAGCCCCACCTTGGGACGATAACCACCCCTACCAAGCCAGGCCAGAGAACAAGCCAAGTACATAGTTCCTTCTGATGGCTCAATGTTTCTGGGATGTAAACTCATTGGGGTTGGGAGGAATTTCCAGATTTTGGCAATAGACTCAAGTTATGATATAAAAATAACATTTAGTTTTTGTTCTTTTTTTTTTTTTCTTACTTTAGACATAAGGATCTTTTGTTATAAGATATCCCAGTTAAGAAATATTGAAATATAAGAGAGTTGACCATCAGGGAAAAAAGAAGCCGAGAGTGAGAAATGCTTGGAAAGTAGCTCCAGACCCGGGAGGTTGGGGAGGAATGAAGACAGGGAGAAGGGGAAGTCTAAGTGGAAAGGCCGGGGCCAGTCATCTCAGCAGCTCCTAGACTTGAGTCTGAAAGTGCAAATGTCAATGGATATTAACCATCATGAGGTTGTGATCTTTTTAAAAGCTCAGTGAATATGGAAGTCAAACCTTCAAATGCAAACAGCTGGAGCTCTGTCTGGAGGCCTGCTGGGTTAGGGATTTTTATTCCCTACCTAACTCCTCTCCCTCCCCACCCCCTCCCCCCAATGAAAGGTACAAAAGGTTGCAGTTCTGCAGCATTACCGTTACAGGGAAGGCACTGGTTGCCACCAGCAGGCGGAAGGAAGACAGGGTCGTGTCACTTCAGAGCTAAGTGCCATAGTGCCTTAAGTCGTACTAGGGGCTGGATATCTGTCTGGGAGGAGTAAGGTAGGATAGAAAAGGTGAAGAAAAAGGAATTAAGGGTAGAGGGTGGCAGCTGGGGGAGGAGCAACCAAAACCATTAGCATTAAAAATCTTCCTATAAACTGGATTCTCAACCCATTAAAACATCTAGTATCCTAAAATATTGATCTGGGTCTTGTTTCGTTTTTCTTCTTAAACAAATCTAGACCTTTTCTGATTAAGGCTCCTAAAAAAATCCTTCCCTTTTCCCACCCACTGTCTCAAGTCCCTCACTTTCCCATCTAAAGTATCAAACTCAAACCTACCAGCTTTTGTCCACAGGGCTGCAGAGCCGACCTTACCAAGCTGTCAGGAGCGAGTCTTTAGCACTGTGAGTCACGTGAGACGCCTGTGTGTTTGGTGGGCACCAGTGCTGCCCCTTTTGGTCCAGTGGGGTCAGGGCCAGACATGACAAAGATGGGGTGAGGGGTAGGGGGCATGAGGTGGATATCAGAGATTTCTGGCTGGTGGTCTGGCTTACTGGCCCTGTTCCCCACCTTTTCATCCCCTCTGTAGAAGGACACAAGGCCTTCTACATTCCTCCCTTCCCCACCTCCCTCCTCCCTGCTTCCTCTGGATTTGGGCGGCACAGCTCTTGGGGCTTGAAAAGCTTTCTTCTATCCAGTGAGGTAACAGCGTTCTGCCTTCAAGCGAAGTACATGGTGCGCAGAGTATCCTGGTGAACCTGCACAGCTTTGGCCAAGGCCTGGGGGTCCCGCCCATTGCTCTGCCCAGATATGTGGCTCCCCTCTCCGCTGAAAAGAAAAAAATGAAAGAAATCTTTCCTGATGATCTGAGCTAGCTAATCCTTCTCCCCATCCCTAAGGGGCCAATTGCCATATCAACTTGAGAAAACCCCAACAAACATTTGGTCCAAGGACACCAAGTCAGAAAACATCCATTTTCGGGACCCCTGGTGGCACAACAGGTTAAAGCGCAGCACTGTGAAACTGTCCTCAGCCACCACAGTACAAGTTCGATCCCCGGCCAGGGAGCTGACCCACAGGACCCAGCAGACCTCTCCTGTCCAGCCCACTGCTCCCCTTACCGATGTACTTCAGTGGACCTGCCTGTTCTTTCCCCACTCTGTCTCTGGCCTTTATCCCAGTTCTTGTATGCATAAATAAATCTTCTTAAAAAAACAAAATGTCCACTTCCTTGTTCACAAGGAAACTGGAGACTGTCAGAAGCAAAAAGTCAGCCTAATCTCACCTGTCATGCTCCTTGTCCACCAGGTGGTATCGTGCCCGGAAAGCCACCAGGCGGGCATAGTAGGCAGGTGCTGGGATAGAGACGGAGCGTGTACATCGTACATAAGTGTGGCACAACTGGTACGTCAAGATCTGGAGCTCATCTGCTGTGAAACGGTTGTCATCCCAAAGGACATAGTAATGGGATGGTCGGCTGGTGCCCTGGGAAGATAGGAAGATGAGGGTGTCCCAGGTTAGGCAGGAGAAATGGCTGATAATAAGGGACAGAATGACTAGTAAGAATAATGCCGAGTTGGAAGATCCACCCAAGGACAGATGCAGTCACTTATGTCAAAGGATACCTTTTTAATGTATAACCTGCCTAAGATGTTGCTGTCATCACTCAGTGATGACTGATACATTCTGGAGGCACTGGGAACAATCAACTAAGTTTTGACCCATCAGAAACCCAAGGGCATTGCCCAGCTACCTGGATGCCTGCGTGGCTGCACAGATAGAAGTCAAACTCAAATGGGTGGGTGATGTTGGTGTCCACAGTGGTCCCAGCTGGAATGTTACCACTCTTCCCAATCTGTGTAGAAACAAAGACAACCAAGATCCCAGGACCTGCCTGGCTCACACTAGGACCCCAACTCATTCTACTCTGACTCCACCAGAATCTAAAAGTAAAGAAGTTGCTATTCCCAAAGGGTACCAATTCTAGAAATAATGGGCTTATAAAGTCACACAGACTTGTATTTAAGTGTGGGCTTCACCATTTATTAGTGTGATCTTAGCAAGTCATTTAACCTTTATGAGGTTAGCTATAAATAATAATACCTACCTCACAGGGCTGCTGTGAGGAAGACGCCTTGTACAGTGTCTGGCACATAAGAGAAGTTCAATAAATGGTAGCTCCCTTTCCCTTCTCTGAGAGCTGGTCTATATATGGGGTCTATAAGCCAGGATGCTGGGAGGCAGGAGAGAGTGTATAAGGGGAGAAAGGGAAGGTAGAAAAACTAAAGAAAGAAAATGGCAGAGGAAGGACCATAAGAGCTAAGGGGAAGAAAGGGGCCAGGGAGATGGAGAGGCCAGGGACTAAATACCCAGCTTTTATTTCAACGACTTCTTCCACATTAAGATAGAGGAGACAAGATGAGGGTACGGGTGGCCTCCTCAATCCCTCACTCACTCGCTCATTCTTGTCAGCACAAAAAAGGCGGGTATGATGGCGTTTCTGCACCACAATATATGTGATCCCAGGCTGATAGTCCTTTTCCAGTTTGATGCATGCATCACGAATGGCCAGCAGCTCATAATGGAGGATCTAGGCACAGGGTGATGAAGAAGACAGAGACACACAAAGCTCCTCTTAAGTTCATTTACCTTTTTAAACTTTTTAAGGGGCTATAATGTGCAACATAACTTTTTTCTCAATCTCTCTTTAGAAACCGACACTCAATAATTAGATAAGATAAATCCTTAGTATAAGGATTACAGAATCAGCCTTGTATTCAATTTACCCAATATGGTCTTTCCTTGGCTAGAAGAGTTGCCATCAGCAGAGAGCACTCACCTGACTCCTATGCAGAAGGAGACTTAACATTGAGACACAGAATCAAGGTTCATAGAGAAATCACTAAAATCACAATGTCAAAAGTAAGGTCAATTTTAGAGTAAGAAGGATAATGGGTTTTTCCCTGTGAGCACACACGGTTGGAACCACATGTGGTTCAAAAATGGGTGCACACAGAGGCGCCAAATTCAGTATTATAGAGAAGCAGGAATATAAGAAGATAGACTAAGAAGAAGCCACAAGTAAATAACCATAGTAATACTTGCTTTGTAGCCTTAATGTCACATATTGTGAGTCAAAAAATCCTTTGACATGGTAGAAATGAATAAAATTTGGAGTCAATTAGAACTAGATTTAAACCAATCCCTACCCAGTATTAGCTTAAACAAGTTATTTAGCCCCTCTAAGTCTCATTTTCTCCAATTCTACTGACATTGCTGATAAGACCAACCTCACTAAGCTAGTTGTGAAGACTAAAACAGATAATCAAGTAAAAACATAGAAAACCTAGTAGGATTTTAATAACTGCTAATTGCTTTCCTAAGCAGTTTGAATTTTAACTTTATACTGTGGGAAGCTACTAGACATTTCAGAACAGAGAGGTAATGATAAATTTACCTAGTATTTTAGGAAGTATTGAGTGACTACAGGAAATTCAGCATAATGTTTAAGAGCATGGATTTTGGAATCAGACTGATGTATCTACCCACTTCACCACTTACTAACTTCAATTGCCTCATCTGTCAAATGGATATAATTATAACATACTACTATTGGAAAATACATATGAAGTGTTTAATACAGTTAATGCCACATAAGTGGTGCCCAATAAATAGTAGTTATATTTCTTTTACTAAAGGGTAATCAAGGTGACCAGTTCAGTATGCTAGTCTAATTAAAAGAATATGAAGGCCTACCAGCAAGAATGTGAGGAACATGATAAAGTGTTGTCTACAGAACAGCAGCAGCACCCAGGAACTTACCAGAACCACAAATTACAGTGCCCCATATACTAAATTAAAAATTCTAAGAGTAGAACACTGTTAAATGTTTTACTAAGCTCTCCAGTTAATCATGATGCATGCTAAAGGCTGAATGTAAAGACTCAGTCTTCAACATGAACCTACTAGCAAATAGGCACTGAGAATCTTCTGTAGAGAGTCTTCTAGAGAAAGAAGAAAGGCCTATAGGTTCCTCTGTACTCTGCCTCAAGTTGTGATCTCTGTTCCCAATCCTACTCCATTTAGCAAAGCTCCCCAAGAAGAAACACCTCCCAATGCCAACTTTAGAAAGGTATGTAATAAATCTCTGCTATCATTAGGCCCTCTGACCTCAAAGTGAAGGTGTTCTCCACTTACTGTGGGCCCTACCTGGGGGAGCTGACCTTCAGGAACCCCGTCTCGGTAGAAGATGATGCGGGTGGGCTTGAAGCGGGTTGACTTATAGAACTGGATGAGCAGCTCACGCACCATGTAGGATAAGTCTTCAATGATCTCCTGCCGTGGTCGCTGTACCCGCACTGTAGCACAGTAACGGCTCGGGTGGGCATCCATACTGCCTACCACCTACAATGAAAGAGAAGAATCAATCCCCACTTCTTCCACACTCCCATTGTCAGGATGTCAGTTTGGGTAAAGATTTCTTAGTAAGAAAGAATACAACTGAATGAGTAGGGCTCTGGATTCAATGAGCTCTCTTTTCAATCTCTGTTCTATTACACATGCAGCATTATTTGGGCTATGTGATCTTTTTTCCCCTTTCAAATAGAGACAAAACCACCTGCTTGCAGTACTGATAACATACTTTTCACAGGGCCTAGCATCCAATAGGAACTTCAAAATTTTGATTCTCCTGCCATGAAAGATGGGCATGTGAAATTCTGGCACTACTACCTCAAAGAGTGATGTTAGCCAGTCACAAGTTTGTTGTGTTTTCAACTCATGTGCTCTCTACACAGAAAACATGGTGACAACTATATTTATGGTTAATGCAAGTAACATCATTTTGAAAGGGGATAGTGGCCAGAGCCTAGGATGGCTGGTCACTAAGAAACTAGTGATAAGCACCATATAAGGTTTCTCTCATTTACTGAGATAAGAACACTCTGCCTAAAGAAATGTGAAGATTGTGGGGGAAAAAAGAAGATCTCTGAGGGGCTTTCAGGGGGCATAGAAAAGACAAGAGAGAAAATGGAAAGACATCTAACCTAGTAGGTAGATCGGGGTAGGGATGGAGAAGAGGAAAGGATGGTCCCAGCAACTAAGTAACCTCCTTAAAAAGAATTTCGAAGAAGAGGTATAGCAACCCAAATTTTAAAAGTGGGCATGGAGAGAGAAACTTGCATACAAGCAAAAGAGAGTGATGGACTGGGCCAAGTCTTTGGCCACAACTTACATTCTTATTGAGCTCTCTGGGAATAAAAAAAAAAAAAAAGACACATACAAAGTTAGTTTTACAAAGATACAAGGGTTTATGGGTATACCAAAAGAAAGGAGATGATCTTCAGGTAGGTCAAGAGTTAGGGCTGAGAGAAGGAAATCATGTACAGTTTTGGGGGCTCAGAGCAAAACACTGAGAAAGATCAAAAGTTATCACTCACTGCTGTGATAGAAGGTTTTTTCCCATCTCCTGCTGGTGGGTGTGTAACATCTGCTCCCAGGAATATCACTGGCTGTTGGAAGACAGCAGAGCTGGATAAAAAGAGAAAACAAATGGTGAAGAGTTGGGTCTTCTCTTCCTGGCACCATTAGCACCCTCTCTCCCTTGTGTCTAACTGACTCTGCCTGGTAAGGGTTCTAGCTTTGCATCAATCCCTAGCATGGTACTTTGCTTGACAAAATCAAGTGGACAATAGTGTTCATACCGCTGATGTGGGACTAGGATATTGTTAATGCCACCAAGTTTGACGTTGATCTTGAGGCAGAGGTTGGACAGAGTCTGAGGTGAAGTCTTGACCACATTCTTCACTTGTACACACTGTGTAGCCATTCCCAATAGCGTATCTCCAACACGTTTCACTTCAGCTATGAGCAGGAGAGAAATGGTCAGTGCATTCAACAGATATTTACTGAATGCCTCCTAGATACCTTGCAGAACAGGAAATGCTAGTATACACAATGGTGACCAGAAATATATAAAGTCCTTACTTCTATAATGCTAATTTATCATTAGCAATCACTCTTACAGTAACTCATTTTTTAAAACCATGAGACGTACAATAATAAATGCTACCACAAAAAAAATCCACATAGTTACAAAAGCATACAAGGGAGTCATAACTGAGCTAGGAAAGGATTCTTGAGTAAGTAATAATTGAAGTGAAATCTAAAAGTAGAAAAGAATTTACAAGAGAAGTTTGCAAAGAAGCATTCAGGCAGAGGAAGTGCAAAAATAAATTCTGATGGGAGATTGCAAAAGACAAAGAAAGTGGTCATTAGACTTATCTAAGGAAGAAATAAGTGTATAAGGAGAAAAGCTCATTTTAACAAAGCTGTCATTAAGATGGAAAGAAACAAATTAAGAGATATTTTTAAATATTCAAGTAACAAAGAGACTATATATATGAATAAGGGAAAATAATTTTATGAATAACTTCTGAGTTTAGCAGTCTAGAATAGAGATGCAAATTTGTGGGATGTTTAGGAATCAGTAACGGAAGGCCATATTTGCAGAATAGGTAGATGAGTCTGTGAAGGAGGAAAATCCAGAGAATTAGAAAGATCAGACATTGTTGTACCATGCCTGCTGGGGGCAGGGGAAGTGTTTCAAGAAGTAAGCAATCAGCAAAGGCAAAGACTGCTAAGAGATCAAGTAAAATGAGGGTTAGAAATGTCCTTTGGATTTAGCGATACTGAAACAAGAAAATTAACCATTTTTCAGGAAAAAATGGTTTTGTTGAAAAAGAATACCAAGGAAATCAATGGAGGGCCTGTATGCTTTCAATAGCAGAAACTTGAGCAAATTCAAAAAGGTAAGGGGTCATTTTACTTCTAAGAGATACGGAATATTCAGTGGCAACCCCGTGGTCCTGCAGAGAACATTCAGAAAAGTCACATAAAGTAAAGAAGTCATCATTTTTAAGGCAGCAGAGATAAACCGAGACAAGAACCATAGGAGCTCCAAGTTCAGAGAGGTAAAGAATCTCAAAGAGGTACTCTATCTTCTGTTTTTACCCAGGGTACATTTTCAGATTCTAGCTGTGCACAGGAGGCTGAGATTTCATGCTTTACACCTGAGGAGGAATCACTGCCAGGGGACAGAGAAAACAATAGAGTTTTTGGCAGAGACAACCTAAATGTTAAAGTTGACATTTTTTAATAAGAAAGTATACTTATGCTATTGGGATTGCTTAAATAACACACAGAAAATACTAGGTATAAAGGAGATGTATTGATAAACCAGCCCTAATAAGATTTTAAAGTTTGTTCAACAAACCCCAGAAAGAAAGTAAAAAGAGCAAGCCACAGAGAGAAAAGATATGTATAATATACATGCATAATCAACAAAGGCATGAAGAACACCTAAATCAATAAGCAGGTCATTAAATTCATTTTAAAAGACAAGACTTAAGCAGGCATTATACAAAAAAGGCTAGTGAAATAGCTAATGGACATATGAAAAGATACTCAACTTTTTCAATTATTAAAGAAATCAAGTTAAAAGCACAACACAGTATCACCAAACACCTATATAAATGGCTAAGATAAAAGACAATATCAAGTTTGATGAGGATGTTAAGTATCTGTAGAATTCTCATACACTGAAAGTAAATTGGTACAATTAAAATCCCTCCTAGATATACATCCAATAGAAATGGTTATATATGTGCTTATGTAAAGGACATGTACAATAATGTTCATTGAAATTTATAATAACCCAAACTGTAAATAACCCAACTATGTCTACTAACAAGATGAGTAATATACATAAGTTGTGCATTACTGATATGATGGAAATAAATAAACTACAACTATATAAATATGGACGAATTTCACAATGATGCAATTTATATAGAGTTCAAAGGCAGATAAATCTAATCATTGGCATCACTGAAATCAAAATAGTGGTTACTACTAATAAGGAGGGGAGTTGTGACTGGTAGTCCTAGGTTGTGATAATGTTCTGCTCTCTGAACTGGACACTAATACATTGCCATGACACTGAAATTTCACGCATCTAACCAAAATCTAATAAGGTTTTGGTATGTATATTACACTTTAATAAAAAGTTTACAATAAAAATAAGATAGTAGTGGGCCCTCCCTGGTGGCGCAGCAGGTTGAAGCACAGCACTGAGAAGCTAAAGCCACCTCAGCACGAATTCGATCTCCGCTCAGGAAGTGACCCAAGGGGCATGGCAGACCTCTCCTGGCCCTCCTGCTGCTCCCCTCAGCTGTGGACTTCATCAGTCAGCCTGTTCTGCTTCCCACTCTGTCTCTGGTGAATCCTCTCACTGCCCCTGTAGTACCGCTGGCCTGTACCCCAGCTCTGTGTGCATAAATAAATAAATCTTTTTTTAAAAATAAGATAATAATATCAATTAGTAGAGAAGGAGTTGTATATACTAAAAATAGAATGAGATCTGGTGCTACATCAGAATTGGGCAAGTGTAACACTATCCTTCTATACTTTCATGGCAACTACAACACCATCTTGACCATTTTGATTATCATTGGGAGAAATACACTTACTTGCCCTCCTAGGAGGAGGGTGAAAGGCCTTTAGAAAAATCTAACTGCTCCTCTTAATCTGTGGCCTTAATTCCTAGACAGATGACCTTATTGTCCAATTAAGAATTTTAATCTAGATATAAGACTGGAGACAGGAATAACATTACTAAGCTTAGGAAAAGGAAAATTCTTGGCATAAGTGTATCCTTCCCCAAGCATGCTATACTATACTTCCCAGGCAAGCCAAGACATTGGACTCTTCCTTTCATGCAGGGAACCTGAAACATGAATTAATATGCAAGGAATTTCTAAAAAACATCCTTATTTTCTATCCAGGGGCCATCAATTTAAGGCTCAAGAGAGATATGGATTAGAGATCAACATACTTCCCTCCAGAAATAATTACTGTGTATGTCAATAATAGACTACACCCTAGGCATGCATATACAGAGGGAAGATTATTTCAGAGCAGAGTCAGATCTATTCCATGCTCCAAATAACAAGAATTAAGGTAGAAACTCGTCAGCAGCCTGATAAAACTTATAGAGAAATCCAGAAAGGATGAGTTTATACACTACATGCAATGAAAGATTTCAAGAAAAAAGAACTTTAAACTAGGATCTGAGGGACAGAGAATTGTAACAACAAGGTAGGGGTAAGAAGAATTCTTCTATCTTCTAGGCCAAAGCAAATGATGTGAGCAAAACCAGAAACTGGAAAACACAGACAAGAAATGAGCATTTAGAGATCTCCTATGTGCCAGGCACTGATGTTAGATGTAGTTTTTACTGAGAATAATTCACTAAATTCAGAAAGATAATTTGCTAAACTGGTAAGCTGGCATAGTCAAGATTTGAAATCCAGTTCAAATTCTAGAACAAGTCAGTATATGTAGCAAAGAGAACAGAATGAGATAAAGTTGAAAAGGGTAAATTAAGATCAGAGCTATGAAAAACTTTATTTTGTGAATGGGGACCAAAGAAGCTTTTTTGGGAATACAATTGAAAAAAGTCTAATTCAGCAATGTATTCATAAAGAAATACACAGCTAAGTTGAGAAATGTGGGTGGACAGATGGGGCTGTATCTTAAGGCTGTTAAAAAAAAAAGAGAAGATAAACTGTCTCCAAAATTCAGATAAAGCTACAGAGAAACCATGATGACAAACACAGAAGAAAAAAGAGAAAGGCTTACTAACAGAGAAGATAAACTATGAAATATTACTTTAAAAGACTACAAGTTTTATTTACTAAAGTATTCAGGATCTAACACCGTGTTTCAAAACAGATCAATAAATTCTTGTAGAAAAAGAGAGGGAAAAGTGACAGATGGTGGCTGTACAAAGCTGAAGGGTTGAATCAAGATTTTAATAACACAGCAACATGTAACAACAATAGATGAGGACTGAATAAACTGAAGTGGAGGGAAATTTCACCAAAATGTAAAGACAGAAACAGGGCAGAGTACAGAAAGCTAGAGAATACTAGATATTCCTGGTAATGGCAAAAATAAGGAGAAACAGGAGAAAATTATCAAGAAATAAAAAGTAGGGGAAAACTGAAAAAGGTCACTGGTGACCCTCTGCAGAGAAGATGTTTAGGATAAAGAAGTAGATAGATGAAAGAGGTGAAGTAGTAAGGGACTGGTGAGGAAATGCATGTAGTCAATGTGGAGAACTCACTCAAAAAGTTTAATGATGAAAAATTTAAAAAAAAAAAAGGAAGACAAAAGTTAAAGGAGATGGCATAATCATGGTAGTATGTTTAAAGAAGATTCAAAGATGTCTGAGGGTTAAAGGATATGCAGCTCCAAAATACATTGGTTTTGGGGACAAGAAAACAAGGATTAAGCAAATTAAGAGAAGGGACCCTTCATCATTCAAAACAGGAGAGGTGGAGAGGGAAAATGGAATAAAAGAACTGATCCAGAAATGTAAATAATCATTCCTATTTTAAATGAGAGAAAACTTCTCAAAACGTCTGAGTTGTTTATTTCCAGGAAGTGGAACACTAACAGAACCAATACAAATTGGGCTTGGGTGTGCTGAACAATGTTCTAACAGACAATACACTCCAAAGGACTGGAATCTGGACAAACCCATATGTATACCTAGCTCAACTTAGCCTGGCATAAAGACCAACACACAGAGGATCCCAGTACATGGAATGGGGAGGATGTGTGAACAGGTAAGCAGAATCTGGTAAGAGTCAATGGCTCACAGGGGTTGCTATTTCTCCTGTAGCAGGAGCACTGACATTAAGGAATCGCTCTGGCCAAAGAATTCATGGAGTCCTCCTTTAGGAGCTTCCAGGTAGCTACTCTGAGAAGTTTTGTTATTATTGTCCCAAGAGAACTGTACCATACACCGGTGTCTTCCCTGGCAGGATGACGATAATGAGCTGCAGCCCTGAGTAGGTGTTCTTGAGATGCCGGAACATGGGCTCCACGCTGTCTGCCCCCTGTGCGTATTTGCAGAAGCAAGGCTGACCCTGGATGGGCATCCCTGCATCCTTGGAAATCTTCCGCAGCTGGTCCGTAAAGTTCCTGCAGGATAAGTATGGTCATGACAGGTGGCAATTAAGTTTCACTTTAATATCTGACTGAATGCCTCTATCTTTACGCGCCTAACAATAACAGGCACTGAGAGATTCTAGGATGAATTAGACATGAACACAGCTAGAGTAAAAAATACATTCATAGTTGAATAGGACATGCCAGAATATGCTAAATATTCAATGGTACCAACACAGAGTTAAGAGAGCCTGAGAAAGGGACCTGTGAGAATTCCTAAGGTCTCCACAATGTCCCACTCAAGCAGCTGACTCCTGTGCTCTGTGAAAAGTCCACAGCAACAGGCAAGTGCTCAAGAGGAAGGTCTCTTTGCTGAAATTGTAATAAACAAGGTTTGAACAATGATCAGAGCACAGCAGCTGCTCAGTAAAACTGAGCTCTCTCCTCCCTACTTTTAAGCCAACAATTAAATAAACTTCTTTCCTTTAGATTTAGGGCTTTATACCCTGTAAATGGAAGACAGTTGAAAGAGAAGATACACATGCAACAGATTTTAAAAATCCAAACTACATAAATACAACAGACAATGAGCAGCAGGAAATTTAATTTGTGAAAATACTGCATTTAGATTAAAATTAATAAAAGTACAATTAAAGAATGAAAACAATTATTTAAGGGATGTCATTATATAGCATATAGTTATCAACATGAAATAATAAAAAAAATCCTAAGTCATGAGAAAAATTTTCACACAGTAAAAAAAACATGATACTGAAATTTTAAATAATTTATAGTTACATAAAATATATAGATTGCATAGGAATGTTATAATAATTCATGACAAAGGTGAATCAGAAAGGAAGGAATGGACTAAAATAGAAGATAAAAAGGAGCTCCAAATCTATCCAAACCTACTTATTTCTTAAAAGAGGATAAAATAGGTGGTGCAGAAGTTAAAGACACAGCACTATCAAACTACCACCAACCACTGCAGCATGAGTTCGATCCCCGGCCAGGGAGCTGACCCACATGGTGCATCAGATCTCCCTTGCTTCTTCTGCTGCTCCCCTCAGCAGTGTATTTCAGTGGAGCTACCTGTTCTGCTCCCTACTCTGTCTCTGGTGAATCCTCCTCCCCGCCACACCTCTGTCCTACACCCCAGTTCTTGTATGCATAGGTAAATAAATCTTTTTGGAAAAAAAAAAGAGGATGAAATAAACATGACAAAACTTTTGGATGATGGCTACCTGGGTGCTTGCTATATTACAGTTTTTTTAAATTTTAAAAAATAAATGCTAGATAAAAAAATACAATGTAACTATTGTTCCACTTAAATAGAGTACAGTTTGATGGATTACTAACAATACTCTTTTCAACTCTCGACCTTGTATATAAATAAAGGGCAACTACTTAAAATGTCAGTCTGTTACTAGATTCCACTAGTGGGTCTCTGCTTCAAGGAAAGTATTATTCCCAATCTTCTTTATACTACTATATCACACTTGGAATACTGTGTCCAGTGCTGAGGAGCATAAAAATGTTGATGGGGAGGGTCATAAAATCCTGTGCTAAAAGATGAGGTAGCTGAAGGAATTGGGTCTCTTTAGCTAGAAGAAAAAAATGTAAGGATTGATTCAAGAATTCTCTTATCCATCCCTAATTACCAATCTCTCTAGCTCCACAACTTCCTTCATCTCTTCTCTCCTATGTCTCAGTGGGAAGGATATCTTTTCCTGTGTTCTGGACATCATCCCCTAATACACACTTAAGAATGTCAGTTTACTTCCTGTCCACTTTTTCTGAGTTCTATTTTCAGCCTCTTTTCACTATGCTTATTCTCTCTGAACAAGCTCATACACTGCCATGCCACAGTTAAAGATTCCCAAATCTTAAACTTTAGCTCAGAAAGACACATCCACTGATATACAAGAAACATATTTAGCCCATGTAATCTAAACATGCCTGAAGAACTGACTCCTTCCAATTCTGAGATTTGAAGTTTATCAGTTTCTATGCCCCAAAATATCCAAAACAATGGATTATTTTGCAAAAGAACTGAACCGAGGAAGAACATGGGAAGAGAAAAGCACATAGTGACAAGAGTTACCAGCGAGGTAACGCAAATGCTAGGCCAAGACTAAGAGCCGGCTTGATTAAGTAGAGCTAAATTTCTAAGAACTCAGAAAAAGGGAAAGAGGAACCTGTTTAAGAGAAACTGGAATTACGAAGGTGGTAGTTATATACTTGAGGAATCAGGGAAGAAGGGGAGGGTGCATATGGGGACAGCCAGTCCCCATATCATAACTGTAATTGATTCTTACAAAACCCGAAGGTCAGAGAAGGGAAAAGGCAACAGCATGATGGGGAAGGCACTGGGACTGTGGTAGTAGACTATGGGTGTCATGTAGTGGCAGAAACACCTGAAGGGGAGATCCTGCACTTCTAATATACAAACAGCAGTGTAAACCAGTACCTCAAAAAAGTAAACAACCCAAGGCCAGCTGAACCCACCAGGATGTACATCTTTTATTATCCTCATCACTGCCTAAAGGGGTTAGTTAGTTCCATGGAGTCTTCCTCAGATCCAGAGTCACTGCCTCCCTTCAAAACCCAGAGAGAATCATAAGCCACCAGTTTAGAAGACTGAAGGCTCTGCCTAACATATACTTTAAATGAGTGACTTTTGTGATACTGAAATATACCTTAATAAAGCTGTTCTTTCTTTAAAAGAAAGAGAGCAGAGAAAGGGTCAATGACTTTTTCATTTACTCATTCACAACCATCACTCTCCTAGCCTTTTCCTTTAAACCACTGGACTCCTATCATTTTCTTCATAGCTGACACCTACTCCCAGCACTTAGCCACAGGTGGTTCAGAGGCCTCATATTCACCTAACTCAGTTCACTTTACCTTGACCAAACAAAGTCTGTGCACAGGAAAGGACAGCTCAAAAGATCAGCTAAAGAAGCTACTCCTTTTTTGTTTTCAAATTAGGAATATAAGCTTTGAAGTCTCAGATCTAATTTGATCCCAACTTTGAAGTCTCAGATCTAATTTGATCCCAACTCTATCACTTTCTTGATATGGAAACCTAATACAAGTTACTTTTTATCTTTTTTGAGCCTAAATCTGCTTTAAAAAAAAAAAGTGAATCACCTATTCCCTATAAAGACGAAATTAAAGAACTAGGTACAATTTTGGCATAAACATCATAGTTATCACTAGTACTATTTACTACCAATTGTAACAATAAAATAATTCAGGCTTCCCTTAGGAAATTCATGCCCTGAAATCAGCATCTCTGATATAGCTATGGCTCCTATGAAGAATCTTGACCACCGATGGACAGAAAAGGAACAGGCAGAAATTTGAGCCAGACAACACAGGGTGGAGTCAGAAAGAAGAGACTATGAATCAGATCTTGGGTCCTTGGGGAAAAGGTACAGTAGGAAGCTCTAGGGTCCTTCCCACCCACCCTTCCACCCACATACTCAACCCTCCTTACTTGAGCACCTCTTCTCGACACTGTTTTTGGGGTGCGAAGCAGGCGATGGCCCAGACTTTGATCTCAATCCCATTGTAGAACTGTTTGCCCCGCATGTCCCAGACACCCTGATTGGGTGTAGCAATGGCCCGGTTCTGGGGATAGGCAGAGGGGGCGCCCAGGTGAGCCTCAACAGAGCCAGGTGAGTAGGGGAGTAAGAGCCCCAACCTTCCCCCCATATGCCCCAGAGATGTTGTCTAGCCCTGACCCTGCTCACCCGGCCGCCGTACTGCAAGATGGGCGCCGGCAGCACTCGCCCTGTCACCTCCGTCATGTCATCCTTCACTTTGATCCCAAATTCCTGGATGTAGGGATCTAGGTTGTAGCTGGCATTTTTCATCTGGAAAACAAAAGAAGGTGATCTCAGTAGACCAACAGCTTAGCAGTACTATTTACCCTCTGGGTCACAAGGAGAAAGCCCTGAAGAGGAGCCAGGGCAGATCAAGAATAGCCCTAAAAAGCGAGGGTGGGGAGGAAGTAAGGCTAAGGGGAAGGGGAAAGAATAGAAGATACGTAAATGGGACCAGATAACACCAGGAAGTAACATAGCAGAGATGGCATGCAAAGTGGCTACAGGGTGAAGAGTCAAGAACATCTTGGAGACCCACGCAACAAATCCAGACTTGTATTCTCCTAAGGGTCCTGTCAAGCCCAAGAGCATCTATGACTAGGGACCCCAATAACTGAGCAACCAAGCATACATTTCTCTGAAGCCTCACTGACCAGACGGCTGATCTCCTCCTGTCTGTCTGGGGCCGATCTAGCAGTAGCCTTTATCATGGTCGAAGTCTGGTTATCAGTCAGCTTCTTAATGCAGCGTTGCCCGGCCACAATGTTACAGACCTGAGGAAACAAAGACAGGTAGCTAGTCCATCTAGAACCCACATTGCAAGAGTAAGGGAAGAGACTCTGACTAGCAACCCTAGGAAATGGAATATAAACTTCCTTGTGCATAGATAGCTACTAAATATCCATGTGCAATCCAAAAGAAAATACAGCCATTTTATAAGTAAGAGCTTAGGATCTAGAATGAGGAATCAGGTCTCAAGCGCTAAATAAATTGAAGAAAGTAACAATATTCTCATAGAATTGTCTGGAGATTATATAGAGCACTTATAAAAAACTGAGTACAGTTCTGGAACACAGTTAACACTCAATAAATTGTAGTATAAAACTACAATTACCGTAAGTCCTTGTATAGAGCTTTTTGAATACTAAATAACTTGTACACAAGCTGGATTCCTAAGATAGGAGGCAGCTCTCCAATGGTGGCAGACAGGTTGGTTCATCTTGCAACCTGCCAGGAAAGCAGGAAGGCTCTTAACTTTTAAGTCCCCTCTATAGATGCTCACTGAACCCCTGATCAAAAATCAATGCCTATTGACTGATAATGTCCTTTGTTGGTTTGAGGAACACCCTGCCATTTGGTTTCTCTGTTTTGGACTGAAAGAACTCCAGAGATCAGAAAGTGATTATACAAGACTTTCATTTCCCAAAATACTGTGTTAAGGTGCGATGAATAAGAAGCTGTTTAGCAGAACAGAGAACCAGTAGGCTTAAAACACTTTAGTTTGAAGCCCAGTTCTGCCATTTCTAGGCAATGTTAACCGTGACCATTCTGAGACTGCTTACTTAATTTCAATCATAGGAAAAAATGCTTGCTGTCTCAAAATACTATAGTGAGAAATTAGAAATATAAATTTGCTCCCCTAGGGCCAACATTCTGCAGGCATTGGTTCTTTCCCTAATTTCCAGCATTTACACTGAACAATGGTAGAGAAAACCAGGTCAAGGTCACCTGCCCTTAAATTTCACATTCCAAAGAACAAACAAATTAGTTAATTTACCTAACAAAAATCCAAAATTGTTGAAATTTGCTCTCTTGAAGGTACTGTAAAGTTGCAGCACTCTCTTACAGGCGACTTCTACTACATAATCAATACTAGGAGAAAGACTAAAAAGCAGTGTATTGCTAATAAAATGCAAAATTGGTATAACCACTTTGGAAAATCTCATAAAATTACTATATGACCCAGTAATTCCAATCTTAGTATGTATTCAGAAAAAGCAAAAGCAGGAACTAGAATAAATATTTGTGCACCTCTACTCATAGCAGCTTTATTCATAATAGTTAAAAAGTGGAAACAATTCAACCGTCCATCAGTGAATGAATGAATGACTAAAAAAAATGTGGTAAATAAATGTAACAGAATACACTCAACCTTAAAAAGGAAGGAAATTCTGACATAGCTACAACATAAGATGAGCATTGAAGGCAGTATACATGTGAAATAGGCCAGTCAAAAAAGGTCATGTTATATAATTCCATTTATAGGAAATGTTCAGAACAGACAGATGCAAAGAGACAAAGTAGAATAGTGGTCACTGGAGGTTGGTGAAGGGCAGAAGGCAGTAATGATTAAGTAACTAATGAATATGAGCTTTCTTTTGGGTGGGTGTGATAAAAATGTTTTAGAATCAGGTAGTGATAATAGTTGCACAACTTCGTGAATATACCATAAACCAGTGAACTGTACATTTTAAGAAAGGAAGTTTATGGTATGTGAATAAAGAGTCTAAAACAGAAAATCAAAGCTGTGACAGATACAATTTGATCCTGCACCTCTCTCCAAAATGATCATCTACTACTTTTCCCCTCATATATTATATGCGTCATTATGGCCTTCTGTCTGTCTGTCTCAAAAAGATCCAAGATCTCTGCTGCTTTGAGTTTATACCACATACTTGCTACTGACCTCCTACCTGGGAGGCTTCTTCAAGTGTTACAAGATTGACTCTATCTCATAATTTGGAACTAAACTCAAATGTCTCCTAGAAGAAACATTCCCTGGTCACAATAATTAAACTAGCACTCCCCCTTTACTTCTGTCCCTGAGCCTTTTTGTAATTCTTATAATGCTTAACACCATCTGAAACTATTTTACTTCTCTATCAATTTATTGTCTATCTCCCCTTTCTAGAATGTAAGCTCTGTAACAGGAACCTTGTTAATCTCCACATTCCCTAAAGAGTATATGACACACTGTAGGAACTCAATAAATGTTAAATAAACAACAGTAAAAATCAAGATATTAATCATTGTATAATTTACTCACCTGAAAGCTATCATTTAAACAGAAATAACATGAATTTGCTAATAAAGCTCAGCTTGCAGTAGATATTATCTAAAGCCTAACATCTTAGCTGGGATTGTTCCCTAAAACTTCTGTCTATACCTCAGAGAACATATTCCCCTCACACCGCTTTCTGCATCCTAGGTAGAGTGTTCTTGGGCTTTGTGATCTTTTTCCCCTTAGCCCTAATTCCTTCTGGTTAGTTATAAAATTCCAGAGGTTTCAAGAAGGTTTGGCCTTTGTTCCTACCTTTCTGACTCCTGCTGCTGGAACAAAGTAAAAGGGCAGGTACTTCTTAAACTTTAAGCTTTTTATGAATCCCCTTTGAATTCTGTTAAGTCATTCTGACTAAGAGGTTAAGGTAGAATTTGAGATTCTGCATTTCAAATAAGTTCCAGGCAATGCTAATACTAGTGGTCTACTGATCACACTACTGACCACAGCACTAGACTGGACAATGAAACTGTCAGCTGTAGCTTCTCATCAGACATTCTGACTAGCATACAACAAACCAATTACAGTCCAATAACTCTGGGTTTGTATTCTATGCCTTAAATAGCATTACTATTCTTTCTTCAACTGTAGGCTGTAGGATTTAGAAGACCTGCTAAAGTATAAAAATATAACATGTCTTGTGTCTAAAACTTTCTCAAAAGGAATACACTGGTAATTGGGGAAATTAGTTCATATGACAGACAACAATTATCTCCATTTTCTGTAAAATAAAATATACTTGTATCTCTATGTTATTTAGGATCCTGAATTCCAGATAGCAGGGAGAGATAAGAGGACTTGAGTATGGGTATCTGAAATCTCTGTTCTGAATGAACTAATTAATTATTAAATAGTAAATACAGCTCTTGCCCCTGCCTTGCAGTCATGCAAGAACATGAGAATAAGATGGAGTAGAAAGAAAGAACAGGTAAGGAGACAGATGTTTCCCAGAATGACCTTGGAACTCTCAGGATGTCAATTTTCCCAACCTTCAAAATGGGAATAAAGACTATGAATGGAAGACCAGACCTCTGAAGATCAGCATACAGGCACATTTCCCCAGTCCAGTCATTACTTGACAGTCTTACCTCTAAGGGTAGGTAGGTATGCTTTTGTTCCTGGCCAACCTGCAGACAGGGCAGATGGGGATATTTGAGCTGAAGGTTGTATTTCTGCTTGAAGTACTGTGCCACTGTGCACTCCACGGTCTGTCCACTTTCCAACTGCAAGGGAAACCTGTTTGGGAGAGGAAAGGTGATACAGCTCAGCATTCAATCCCAGTTCTCTGGACATACAACCATGGGACGTTCCAGAATTGACTTTCCCCTTATCTTGTCTTTTTGAGCACTGCCACTCATAGAAAAGCAGGCAAGAGATTCTAACATTTACAGAACCAAGACAGTAACCAGGTTCTACAGTAAAGGCCCTACAGTAAAGGCCCGGGCAAAAAAGACACTAAGAAGTAAAAATAGAGTACCAATGAATCTGGGAAGGTTGGGGAAGGATACCAAAGTCCTACAGCTTATCTTTGAAAAACAACCAGCCCAAGGCTCATTCTTAGGGTAGGCGTGAAATATTAATCATCTAGCATAACTTATCAGCCCTACGAACTTACGTCTGATGGCTAGCAGGGCGGCGGGTAACATTACACACTCGGTATTTCCTCTTCATCTGTCCACAGTGGGTTACTTCCACCTTCAGACCTGGATATACATATAGTTTGTCAGGTTGTACCAAAGATTGCTTATGTGCCCAGGCTTGGTCTCTCCCCTGAACATAACCCGAGAGAATTTCCTTTTAAATACTGCTTCATTCCCTGCCTAGTCAGTTCCTCACCCTTGATCTCCTTGGTGAAGCGCACACGCTGAGAGTCCGTGAGGGGTTTAGGCTGCTCATCTATGTTCCTGATGTCCAGTACCTCACACATGAACTCAATCACCGGCTGTGCCTTGTAGAAGGCAGTAGCTGAGACTGTAGGGACAGGTAGGTATAATTCAGTTCAGGTGTTGTCTTTCAAAACAAATGGAGGCACTGCTCTTTACACCCTCTTCCTTATAGGGTATTGGGGTGGGGGAGGGTCCCAGGGCTATAGGGATTAGACTAGGACTGTGGTTGCAGAGCTGGGAGGGATGAGGCTGGGAGTGTGGTCACTGGATACAGGGTGCCCCTGGCTCCATAGCTCTCCCCACTCACCATCAATGTTGAGCATCATCTTCCACATGGCAGGGCGCACAGACTGGTGAAAGCCGAACCAGACCTCGCGCCCACCCCCCAGCGGGTGGTAGTAGCCCTCAGGCGGTGAGAAGAAGGAGCGGCCCACGGGGGTGTACCTGGCAGGGACAGGCAGAGAGCTGGTCCCTCGGGCACAGGCCCCCACCCTGTGAGGCATCCTGGGCACGGAGGAGCCCTGGCCTGGAAGGCAGGACACCGGGGCTTTAATTCCAGCTCTGATCCTTTATTAGTTGGGTGACTGACCTTGTACAAGTCTTTACCCTTTCTCTGCCCTGCTGGGACAGATGGGGTGAGGTCCAAAGACATCTAAAAGGGACAGGGCCAAGGCTTTAAACCATCTAAGTGTATATGCACACTTGCCTGGCATATGGTAGAGTTTCAAAGAACTGTTTACTTGGAGGTATCCAGTGGGACCTTAGCATATGCTCGTTTCCCTCCTCCTCCCCCCACAGCAGTTTTGTCACCACTGTAGCCCAGATACTAACTACACCCAGTACCTCATGGATGCCAGATGCCTCATAGCCACATCCAAGGCTTGCACAGATTCCAGGGGAACAGGGATCTGGCCACTGACCAGCGCCTCATGCAGCATGCGCCAGCTCACTATAGCTAGCCACTTGATGGAGACCTTGAAGATTCGATCCTTCCCTTCCCCAGGGATAGTCACCTCAAAGTCAACCTTTAAGAGAGAGAAAGGGATGGAGGATTACAAATGCTTTTGCTAGACAAATTCGTGCCCTGCCCCAACTGGACCTTACTCCCTGAATTTGTCAAGAATCTACTCCCAAGCTAGGAGGTTCACAATGAAGTTAGGGGCTCACAATGAAGACAGCCCCTCAGTTTCCAATCACAGTGTTTTGACCCTCAAATCACCTAACAGGCTCAGTATTTCTGACCCTCAATCACACCTAATAGGAAGTCCTTTAAGTCTATTTTAAGTCTACTCTCTAGGACAGAGACACAGTAAGTTAAATACACATCACCACTTACCCAATCCTTGCTCTAAAACATTTTCTTAGCACAAAAGATGAAAGGATTATCTGGACTGCCAGACTCTAGACAAGCTTACATGGGCTCAGTCCCACCCCAGACAAAAAAAGGTCTAGACTGACTCCAAATCTTACCCGTTCATTTCCAATGGGAAGTGCTGTAACAGTGTAAATGTTCTTCTTTCCATCATACACAGGCTTGCGATCACCAAAGATCTGAGGCTTGAAATGCTGGACCATGTATTCCACCACTTCCCTGTAGGGGATAGGAGTGGCCTGTGGAAGCTGAGAGTCTACCACTTCAAGTTTTTGGAAGTAATTCAAAGTCCAGACAAGTCCCACCTACTACATTCTCTCCTAGTCACCACTCTAATCTTATCTGCTCTCTTAACAGTGCTTCTGTTAAAAAACTTCAACATTTATATAAATCACCTGGAGACTTTATGTTCTGATTCAGTAGGTTTAAAACAAAGCCTGAAGTTCTACATCTCTAACATGTTCTAGAGTGGTGTTTCTGGTCCTTAACTCACCAACCTTTTTAAAAGACCCCAAAGAGTGTTATGTGTGTGCCTTCTAAGCAGAGAGGGAATATAAGAAGAGAAGTGTTTAATCCCAGATTCAGAATCAGAAGCAGAATGGATTCTAATCCAATCCCCAAGACGATACATAAAAAAGACAGATGGGGCCCTCCCTGGTGGCACAGTGGGTTAAAGCACCACACTAAGAAGCTAAAAAAAAAAAGCCACTTCTACATGAGTTCAATTCCCACCTGCCCCGGAGGTGACCACATGGCGCGGCAGACCTCTCCTGACCCGCCCGCTGCTCCCCTCAGCAGTGTACTTCATCGATCTGTCAGTTCTGCTCCCCACTCTGTCTCTGGTGAAGCCTCTCACCGCCCCTGAGCCTCTGGACTGTACCCCAGTTTTGTATGCACAAATAAATAAATCTTTAAAAAAAAAAAAAAGACAGATGGAAAACATAAATGAGTTGGAATTGGAACCAATTACAGAACTTTATCTCTTCCATCTCTTTCAAGTCCTAGTTCCACCATTATCATCTTTTCCTTGATTTCACTTCCTGCCCTCCTAGGTTGTGGAGTGTCCACCTACCCTCTAAAGCTCCAGTATATTCACCCTCTAAACTTCTTCACTTTCTAAATCAAACCTCTTGACCACTACTGGATAAAAAGTCAAAATATGCATTGGAAGCAATGGGAAACACACGGTTTCAATCCCAATCAAGCTTCAGTGCACCCAACAGTCTTCCTCTTGTCCCGATTATGTCCATCCCTCATAAACTGTCAAATATTTCTTAATCAAGAACCCACTTCTGTATCCTATCAAAAAGCAATTCTAATGGGCCCTCCCTGGTGGTGCAGCAGGTTAAAACGCAGCACTAAGAAGCCACCTCAGCATGAGTTCAATCCCAGAGGTGAACCACTTGGCACGGCAGACCTCTCCTGACCCCTGCTCCTCTCAGCAGTGTACTTCTCAATCTGCCTGTTCTGCTCCCCACTCTGTCTCTGGTGAAGCCTCTCACCACACCTCTGGCCTATACCCCACTTCTGTATGCATAAGTAAATAAATCTTTAAAAAAAAAAAAAAGCAACTCTAATAATTCAGAAAAGTATAAACTAAGTTACCCTCAGTTCCCAGATACACAAACATATTTATATCTATAGGCCTCTTTTCTTCTTTTTTTCCTCTCATACGTAAAATATCCTTTCAGGTGTTAAGTTAAAAATATATAGAAATATAATTTAAAATTAGACCAACATACTTATCCTTGCTTATTAGACCAACTACTTATCACAATGCCGAAGATCAAGACCCCAATATACTAGATTGAAGCTGATACTGGGAAAAGACACTCTGATACTTTACTGATAGGAGTACAAATTGGCACACTTTTTTTTTTAATCTAGCAATATGAACTTCTTTAATGTATTGTGCTAGCAACTGCTCACCTAGAAATTTATCCTCAGATACAGTCATATTTGAATGTAAAAATGTATCTATATTTAATGATATTCAATAGTTTCTTTTTTGTAGCAAAGTTTGGACTCAATCTAACTATTCCTCAATAGATTAAATAATAATACATCTTTGCTGTGCAAAAGGATGAAACAGATATGTATATACCCATCTGTATTATTTCCTAAAATATATCATTTGATGAAAAAGATATGGTGTAGAACAAGATATATAGGATTCTATACTCTGTATATTTAAAAAAATCTTCTAATACATATGTTTGCACATACATAGAAAAACATCTGGACAATATTCAAGAATGGTAACAATGAATGATTACTGGGAAAAGGATCAGGGGACCAGAGACCAGGGTAATAGAAGACATTTCCCACTGCTATTCTTTTTGTAATTTTTTTTGTGCTATATAGTTTTCAAATAATAATAAAATAAACTTTTAAGAAAAATATTGCATATTCTCTCTAGGTTAATCCCTCCCAGTTGTGTATCCTATAATGACCTCTTGCCTCAGCAAAGACATTGTACCTACTCCTCTCCTATCTGCTCTGTACCTTTAACAACTCCACTAGCCCTTTCTTTTTCATTTATAAACATATCTATTCCTCATTCTTTTAAAAGCTTTCCATTAATTCATTTCAATGAAGATTAAGATGTGCCAAGCACTGTACTGTATCAGACCCCTAATCTTCTCTAGGTAACAAATTCCCTTCTTTTTTCGTGCTTCATAGTCGAGCTATATGAAGTTAGTTAACTGTTCTCACTATCCCTACCACATTACCTTCTGATTATTCCTTAATTCACTGTAATTAGATTACTGGTCCAACTACTCTATGGAAACTGCTCTAACAAAAGGTACCAATTATCGGGCCTTCCCTGGTGGTGCAAGGCGTTAAAGCACAGCACTGTGAAGCGTTCTGCAGCCACTATAGTATCAGTTTGATCCCCAGTCCACTGCTCCCCTCAGCAGTCTATTTCAGTCCATCTGCCTGTTCTGTTCCCCCACTTTGTCTCTGGTGAATGCTCTCACACTCTCAACACGTCTCGCCTGTACCCCAGTTCCTGTATGCATAAATAAAAAATCTTTAAAATAAATAAACAAAAGGTACCAATTATCTCCTAATACACAAATCCAAAGACATGACATTTTTCAACATTTACCTTACCTGGGATCTCCTCCTCAAAACTTTCTTAAATTTGGTGATACAACCCAGTCCTAGTTTTGTTTTGTTTTTTTTTACCTCTCTGGACCTCTTTTTTTCTTTCTTTTTTTTTTTTTAAGATTTATTTATTTATGCATACAGAGGTGCAGGGACAATGAGAGGATTCACCAGAGACACAGTGGTGAGCAGAACAGGCAGATAAACAAGGTACACAGCTGAGGGGAGCAGTGGGTGGATCAGGAGAGGTCTGTCTGCTGTGCCATGTGGATCACCTCTGGGGCGGGGATCAAACTCATACTGAAGTGGTTTTAGCTTCTTAGTGCTGTGCTTTAACCCACTGCACCACCAGGAAAGGCCCCTCTGGATCCTCATTTAACAATGAAACTGCATCAAGTGAAGATTCCTGGACTTGGGGACTTAAATGTGTGTCACTTACCTGTTAACTCTGCGAGGACACTTATCAGGCTTGATATCCACTTCGTAGTGGTAGACATCAATCTTAGGGATGTCCACCTCAAAGTAATTGGCCAGAAGCTTGATTGGTTTTCCCACAGTGCCAATGCCAGGTCGACGTGGTGCTTGGAACACCTGCTGCAGTGGGGGCAGGTAGGCGCCCGCAGCTGTAAGACAAAAAGGCTGGTGAGTGTAGGGTTTGGCCTTCTCCTCACCACTTGGATCAGAGAAGGACAAGACCTCCCAGAACAGGAGCAGGGGACGTTGGAAGTCTTTTTCCTGCCTACCCAACCCAACTAAAGGCTTCCACTGGATCATATAGCCCAGGTTCACTCTTTTTTATAAACCTCTCTCCAGTAAGGAAAATTACCCTTGTTGTCCATTTTAAATTTATCAAGTAAATTCATCAACTTCCTAATATATGTTACACAAAAGCACTTCTAGTAACAAAACTATTTGTCCTACTAGATTTAGACCCCTGCCTCCCCCAGGTACCTAGCAGTCCAAGAATATCCTATTCTCTGCCAGCCAGATGTGTGCTTCTCATCTTAATGCTTCTCTGCAATGCAGGGAGGTGAAATGCCCAAAGGAACCCAAGCTGGGTGTGTGTGAGAAGGATTAAACAACTGAATGCCTGAAGGTGGAGAGAAAGAAAAAGCTAAAAGAATAGAGTTCGGAAACTAAAGAGAGAGGCTGAAGTAGGAAGCTGGTGAAAAGGATGAAAGTGGAGATGACTTCCATGAACTGGGAGCCAGGGATAAAAGGAAGACTGGAGTTAGGGATTGAGACAAGATAAGTTAGAGTTGGAAGTTTAGGAAAAAGCAATGTAATTGGGAAGAGTGAAGAAAAAATTCAAAAGAGGAAAAAAGTAGGAAATGAAAACATTCAATTGTGGGAGACTGAGGTCAGAGGAGGCTAGGTAAAGAATGTGGGAAGGAGAGGGAGGGATTAGAAAGCTGCAGAAGGAAGAAATGCTGGCTCTGGGAAGAGACGCCAAGCTTTCCTCCACTGCTCCTTCTGCGCAGAAGGTCCAGACAGTAGCAGAAGCTCTCAACTTCAGGAAAGGGGGCCCTAGCACAGAGCCACCTCCCACTGCTTTCTCTTCTCTTACCTCCCGTCAGATTGCTACCTCTAGTCTTATTTTCTAGCTTGAAGAGAAGGAGGAAAATGAGAAGCTGCCAAAGAGACGCCTTTGTCCACAGTTAGTTTTGTCTTTGCCTTTAGAGGACCTGCCCAGGTGGGAGGAGAGAGAAGAAAAACCAGCTCAGAATCTCCATCTCCCATCACCAGAGCTCTGATTTCAGTCAGCCAGTATGGGGGGGATGGGACATATCTTCAGCTGGGGGTTCAGGAAGAGGTCAGAACCATTCAAGGGAGGGAATGCTTCCCAGAGCTAAACTGCCATGTCTTCTAACCACCTCAAAGCCAGCCCTACTCCAATGACAAGGAAAAGGGAAATACATTTCCAAAACTTTCAGGACTCAACTAATTGTGGCAGTGAGAGCCTGGCTACTAGTACCTGATCAGAAAGAGCTAGACAGAAATGCGTATAAGCCATAAACACACACATACAGCAGAACACATTACTGTCACACACATCCAAGCACACACTGAGACCTAGACAGTTTACCTTTATACACATTCCCCTCACTGTAGCCAGGAATTGAGGACTGTTGCATATCACCACCACCCTAAATTGTGAGTTTTTTCCAAAGGCTTTGATTATTGGTTTTTCTCCAGTGTCTGGCACATAGCAGATGTTCAATACACAGATATTAAATGAATGAATGAACAGATTCAAAGATATATCACAAAGAACACACAAGCACACAAACACCTGCAAATTGCCCAGAAAGAATTATAAACCCTCCGTAATGCAAACACGCATCCTGGTGGATGTAGCTGGTCAGAAACACCCATTCTTTCCCCAAGTTCTTATATTTCATTCACCTTCTTATTCTCTCAGTCTGAACAATCACTTGGAGTCTTGGGAGAAAGAAATCCCCTAGAATTGGGGGCTGGGTAGAAATGATGGGGGATGGGACACTCTAGACTCAAGCCTTCTCTTCCCCAAAACTGGACTTCATACCAGACTTAGCCTTAGGCATTCACCACTCCAAGAAGGCTTTGAGAAAATAGGAGCACTTCCACTCTCCTTTCCATCTCCAAACTAGGGAAAGCTGGAGAAAGGGGTAACCCCTCTCCCATCATAGCCCCCTCCGCAAGCCTTACAGCTGTACAAAGTACCCCCCCTTAACCCACCCTACTCGCAGCTTTCAGTCTGAGAAAGGGAGACACTTCCCTTCAAACCCAGACAGGGACAGACGGCCACTTTGTGATGCAGATGAGGGCCCCAGCACAGAGGACAAAGCTTGGGCCTAGGGGGAAAGGGGCGGGCCCTTCCCTGCAGACAAAAGCAAGAAGGGAGGGGCCCTGAAAAGGACACTCCCCCTCCCCCATCCCCAACCAACCCAGAGAAGGAAAAGTAACAGAGCTGAAAAGCCTGGCTCAGGGATTCCTTCCCTGCAGTTCTGAGGCCAACATACCTCCCAAGGAGCCAGACTGCCTATTCAAAAGACTAACTCAAGGCTGTGTAAGCACACTAAGAGGCCAATATTCCCACAAATTGAGCATACACAAATTATTAAATATCCATGTATGTGGTTAACCATTTATGTTCACACTGGAATGTGAATCAATTCAATCAATAAGTGTGTACAATGTGTCAGGGCCTAAACACTCACTAGTCCACAGATAAATCAAACATTGCTTCTATCCTCAGAAAGCTTCCAGTCCAGAATATGTGCTTGGAAGACATCTGTGCACAGAAGCCACATCTGGGCATAAGCCCAATGAAGCCAGAACAACACCTTACTTTTGTGTACTGTGTCCTCTAACTTCCAAGAGAAGGGTCTGGGCCAAGGAAGGAGGCAGTTATTGGGGGGGGGGGGTCCTCTATTCCGGGCTTCACTCACAATTACATTCTTTGATGAGGAAAAGGTTATCCCTCTAGGCTACAGTCAACTCCAGATACTAGATTCAAATCCCTTCCCATGAAGCTTCTTACCACAAACAAAAAAAGGTCGATTTTTCATCACTTCAGACCCTATTAGGAATTCTGCTGAATAAAATCATTAGCAATCTGGTGCCAGCTCCCAGCAATCCACCTGGACCTCTGTGACCCTACTTTAGTCTACAGCTTGTTGCAAAAAGTGTTTAGCCTTGAGAACTAGGAAAGTTTCTGAAATCTAAAGAAGAGCCTGAGGGAAGGAGAAAGTAATTTTCTGAAATCAGATGCTCCCTATACGTCACCTTAAGAGCTACACAGTGTCTGCAAGATTTTTGCTTTGTGGGAAAGTATTCACTAAATGGTTACACATCACTGAAAGGATGACTAGTATGAGTTAATAGAAACGATTTCCTTGAGAGAGGTAGCTTTGATATGAAAGACAAGCTTCTTCCACAAGAAAAATAATGAAAATCTATTCCTACCCAAAAATTAAAAGGAAAAAGGTGAGAGGTGATCCAAAGAATTCTCAGGTCCAGTCTGCCCCTCCCATCGAAGGGCAAGAAACCTAGGGCACAGGAGGTGGTAGCAGCCCACAGCCCATCCTTGGAACTCCAGTCTTCTTGACAGCCCTGCCGCAGTTTCTCCCATTCTTATCTCCTTTGCCCTGATCACCTGTGCATGAGTTAAGACTATCACCTTGAAGTCACAGGATAAAGTCTATAAACTTTCCCTATTCCCACACAAGTTGTGACAAAGGGCTTGACAGCCTTGGGTATAATGACTTGGTTCAGTTTCTGAGGAGTAAAGAGGAAAAAGAAGATAACCACCTGGGGACAGGAGACATGAAAGAATTAACAACTAAAAAGATCAGGCTATTATTTTAGGAGATGATTCAATGAAAAGGTTGATATTCTTAAGATTAAAACATCCCATCTCCACTCAGTACTGGACCAGAAACATGCAAACCAGGCAGATCACTCCTTCCAGGTATACCAGGCCCTAGTCTTGGTCCCTCAGTAACCAATATCTTTTCTCAGAACTATCTTCAGGGAGGTTCCATCCCCGGAACATAGCCTAAGTCTCAGTCTTTCCTTATTCCAGTAGCAGAAATAGGCACTTTTGCTGTCTTCCTCAACCCATTCTTGGCTAACAGTGACTGAGGGGTTTCAGAGCCCCGGATGGGGAAGAGGACCATTTTCCATTTGCGCACCGTCAGCATAAGCATAGAGAGAACGCACCCCATCAGCGCGCTTTTTCCAAGCCAAACCGGGTGGGGGGAATTCAGACAGCCACGCCCCCACCACTTCGGGCAGCCCCTTCAGCTGCCACCTCCGCGCATGCTCTGGCGCCTCCGCTCCAGCTCCCAGTACTCAAGGGGGTGGGGGGGAATCCCGGGGCTGGGTCCCCACCCACCGCCCCCTGACCCTCACCCCACGTCAGGCCCAGCTGGGGCGGAGCTCACAGCCCAGCTCTGGCGCCTTCTCCCAAGAGACACTAGCCTAGCCCACCCCAGCCCGGCTGAGCCCCCGCCCCGGCATGCGGTAGTTCTGGGCCCATCTGTGCCGACCCCCCCTCCTCTCCAGGACACCTGGAGTCCGCCCCCTGCCACCTGCCGGGCCTTCCCCTAGGCCTCCCGGGATCTCCGGGAGTCCTTCCGTGCGCTCAGGCCCGCCTCGCAGATTACTTTCCACCCGCCAGAACTGCATACAGCCTCCGATGAAAAAGGGCCCTCATCTCAGAGCTCCCTTCACAAGATTTCCCCCGGAACTGCACGCAGACCCCTTCAAACTGGGCCCTTCACACCACCAGAGTCCCCTTCCTCACTCAGGAGCTATTCTCTCCCTCGGAAACCCCACTCTTCCTGCAGGAGTCTCTTGGTCCTTGGAACACTCACGTCCCCCGCCTCCCGGGGGCCCTTACCTGTTCCCGAGGGTCCCGCTTCCATCCCATATACCCGTGCGGAGGTCAGGCGGCCCGGAGACTGTGGAGTCCAGCGTGAGGGGCCTAGGTACCCCGCTCACTCTAGCTACCGGGGTTCCCGGGCCGGGCTCGGCTCCCCCGCCCAAGCCCGGCCGCTCTCGCCGCCGCCCCCGCAGCCTCCGTTGCCGCCGCCGCCGCCGCCGCGGAGCCTGCAGCAGCTCCCCCTGCGAGCACCCGGCCAGCCGCCAGTGCGCAGGCGCGACCGCCAGGCCCAGGGGGCGGACGGGAACGAGTCAAGCGGGGCGCTCCGACGGCAACAAAGGCCAATGGAGAGGGGCGGGGGCACAGGGGACCCGAGGCAGCGGCCCCTGGCGGTCACCCGTCGCCCTGCAGCCCAGCGGGAGGGCTCCCGGTAGAGGCGCAGCGGAACTGTTCAGTGGTCTGAGTGGGGCCAGGCGGGAGGACACCCCCAGCTGCAGTCTGCGGCCCTGCGTCTATCCCCCGAACAGTTCACTCCAAACCTACGTACAGCCTCCCCCCTTCGCAGGCTCAGGAACCCCACCTCACTCCCAGTTACCCTCTCACACATTCCGAGCGCCCCATCACCCCAAGGTCCCTACACCCCACCTCTCCTCCCTATCACCCTCATCCTTCAAATCTTGGCGCAAAGCGGGCTGCCTCCGTGAAGCCTTTCTCCGTCCCTAGTGACTTAACTCACTGACGCCACCCTCTCTCTCTCTTCCAGGTCGAATGCTGGGCGCTGAGACCACACAAATGAGAACGACCCTCCCTACTCTAAATGTCACGTCTCAACTTAAGTGCGTCTTCGAAGCTCTAGCTGCAGGACCTGGGAGACACCTACCTGTCTCCAATTTCTCATCTACAGTTCACTTCTGAATTCAAGTCTGCTTCTGCTTTCACGAAAGGATGTTGCGTTGAAATTCAAAGCATTTTCAATTCTTATTTGCATGGAACATCTAATAGTGTATCTCTCCTTCCTTTATGAATCTTCTACTTGGCCCCGATATTTTTGAGACCTATTACCTAAGTCCTTGTTAGCCTTCTTCAAGGGTCACCTCTTGCTTTTGCCCCATTAAATAGCATTGTCACTATAGTTTCAAACCACAGTTCTCTTCTTATTTGACTCTCCACTTTCCCCCTGAGGATTATGGCTCAACTATAGTTCCAAATCTCTTTCCAGCCACGACTCAGACACATATTTCCAAGCGTCTGCTGGACAGCTCCACCTGGATACTCTACCAGCAATTCAAAAACCAGCCTTTATCTCACCCGCACAAATGGGCTTTTTTTTATCCCTCCTGTCTCTGAAAATGGCACCTTCATCCAAAAATGACCTCTCTTTCCCTTGTTTCATCTCTCATTTAGCTAATCACCAAGTCCTGACATCTACAACTCCGCCTGAACTGTTTTCACAATTACTCTGCCATTCTTCTGGCCGGCCCCTTGTGCTGGTGAAGACCCTTATCTCCTTCTTTCCCGAAAGTATTACAATCACTGGCTAGTTTAACTTTCTGTCTACTGCAACTGATAAATGTAAGAGATTCTGCTCAAACACCACTGCCCCATCTTTTCATTCATGTTTTGATGCCTACTTTACACTGGATGGCTATGCAGAGTGGTTAGGAACATTGAGATAAACAATATCTAGTCCCTTCCCATGTGGAGGTTAATTTCTGACACTTGTCATAGTATGCCTTTCTTCTCTGATCTAGCAGAGGTTTTCAAACAGCAGGCATTATAATCTCCTGGAGGGCAGTTAAGATACTGATTACTGAACCCCACCTCCAGGATTAATGATTCAGGACATCTTGAATGGGACCCAAGAATGTGGATTTCTAGTAAGTTTCCAGATGAGGCTACTGCTGCTGATCTGAGGGAATCACACTTTGAGAACCACTGCTTTACAGAATGAAGTTAAGAATAAAGATTCTAGAGCCAGGCTGTGTTGGTTTCAATCTTAGTACTGCTATTTACTAGCTGTGTAAGACTGGGAAAATACTTAACTTCTGTCTCAATTTCCTCCCGTGTAAAAGAAGGTATAAAAATAGTACCTTCTTCACTGGGTTGTTAATACAAAGACCTTAGAACAGTGCCTAGAAGTATACAGGCAGAATGTTAGCTGCTATATATATCATAAATATTGTCTGCCTCTTGCATCATATTCTGAATTCTTTAAATAATAAGGAACACATCAGATGCATTTATGCTCACTTTAGTGCCCAGCAAAAGTTGTGCCAGAATGACCAATAAATCTGTACTGATTGGGGTTAAGCAAATGGCATTAAACATCTTTAGAAATAGCAAGACCTTTTCCTTAATATAACAAAGAAGAAACTCTTCATTCCATTAAAAGGGCTTGAATCCCATGTTCTAAATATTAAAACTTCCAATTAACTTTGTAGAAAGACATGGGTCAATATTCTGATCCATCTCCAAAGTGGCCTGGCCCTATTGTCTGAGTCTTTTGCAGACTGACTCCATCATCTGGGAACTCACCCTTGCATAGGCAAACCAGTGGCAGATTATATAAAAGACATTAAGGTAACATTTTGCTTTTTTACACTAACTTCTTCCAGCAACTCCTGATGTACCTTCTCAGAAAGCTTTTGGGTCCTTCGGTTTTTAGTTCAATCTTTACATTTCAGTCCATAGCTAAATCACACCCAATGGTCTCTGTGATACAGATCTTTCCACTTTCTTGGCCACAAAACAAGAAATGTTTGGGGGAAAAATTGCATCTACATCTACACTTTCTTTTTTTAATATTTAAAAAACAGCCTGAGAACAATGACATCAATGTAATAATACAGAGATTATGTAATGTACTATCAGGTATAAAATGAATCACCAGCAATTCTTGAACGTGTTATTTCTTTTTATCTGTATTTAAAAAATATTTCTTATGTATTCCAGGAGATAATTTTTTTTAAGATTTATTTATTTATGCATACAGAGCTGGGGTACAGGCCAGAGGTGCAGGGGTGGTGAGAGGATTCACCAGAGACAGAGTGGGAAGCAGAACAGGCTGACTGACAGAGTACACTGCTGAGGGGAGCAGCAGACAGGTCAGGAGAGGTCTGCCACGCCATGTGGGTCACCTCCAGGGCAGGGATCAAACTCATGCTGAAGTGGTTTTAGCTTCTTAGTGCTGTGCTTTAACCTGATGCACCACCAGGAAGGGCCTGCCAGGAGATAATTTTAAAAATCAGAAATCATAACAGTGGACTAATAAATGCAAACTTAATTTGAAAAGACTTATGAAATTGACAGCCTTTTAAAAACTACTTTTTAAAAATTGAGGTATAATTCAGACTCAGTAAAGTGTACATATATAAAATATGCTATTTAATCAACGCTAATATTTGTCAATCTGTGAATCCATCACCATCAAGATAGTAAGCATATCTATCCATCTAAATTTTAAGTTGCTGACCAAAGCAATTTAATAAACATAAGGGAATTTTTTACATAACTAATTTACAGACTAGTTAATGGGAACCTCTGTGTAAAACTTTAAATTACATAATTTTCCTTTAAGAAATGTAAGATTCAGGGCTAAAACACACTGCTATGAAGCCATCTGCAGCCACTGAAGCACAAATTCAATTGATCCTCAACGAGGGAGTGACCCACACGGCACAGCAGACTGCTCCTGTTTTGCCCGCTGCTCCCTTCAGTGGTGTATTTCAGTAGATCTGCCTGTTCTGCTCCCCATTCTGTCTCTGGTGAATCCTTTCACCCTCCTACACCTCTGGACTGTACCCCAGTTCTTGTATGCATAAATAAATAAATCTTTTAAAAAAAAGGAAATGCAAAATTCAAAGGCAAGAATTGAGTAACAACTGAGGACACTAAGAAAGCTATCCAAAATTATCAAAGAACAACTGGCCCAGAAATTTCATTGTTTAATACTTCCTACCATTCCTGAAAGAGATAATTCCATGTTATATGAATGGGTTACATGGAAAAAAGAGGAATTTTCCAAATTTGTTCAAATAATAATAAATGTTGTGACCTTTAATCAAATAGTAATACTACAAAACTATACCTCAGGAATATGAATACAACATTCACAAGTAAAATACTAGTATATGGAATTCTAAAAGATTAATTAAATTTTGATAATAAATAGCATAAAGATCTTACACAATATTAAATGCCAGGAACTATTCCAATACTTTATGTGTGTTAAATTACATTATCCTCATAAGAATCCTGGAGCATGATAGTAGACTTGAAATAAGAAGCAACAGATACAATAACCAATACAGGCAGGTACTATTATTAAAAATGGAGACACACACACAAAAAAAAATGGAGACACAAAATGGGTAAGTTACAGCTCACACAGCTTCCAACTAAGACAGGCAGAACTTGAACTTAGACTGTATGGCTCCAGGGTCAAGACTCTTTGTTTTTTTAAAGATTTGTTTTATTTATTTATAGAAACAAAAGCTGGTTTATAGGCCAGAGGTGTTTGGGGCAAGGAGGAGAGGATTCACCAGAGACAGAGTACAGAGCAGAATATACAGATTGACTAAAATACACTGCTGAAGGAGCAGCAGGCAGAATAGCAGAGATCAGCTGCACCATGTGGGTCAGCTCCCTGGCTGCAGACGGTACTGCTGCAGTGAGTACAGATAGCTTCATAGTGATGAGACTTAACCCCTTGTGCCACCAGAGAGGTCCCCAAGGTCAAGACTCTTAGACACAACACTATGCAATATTATTATTAAAAGAAGAGCATACCACAAACACAACAATAACTCAGGCATGGTTCAAAAATAAATACTTCATGTAATGCTATATATGCAGATAAATAAAAAATAAACATGACAGTTTTTAAAATAATTGATGAGATTAAAAACCTTTCTTAAGAAAATTACTTAAATCACACTTTTTTTACATAACAGCATGTTTTTTATCTAGTAGAGAAGTAGTACTTTTCTTTTGAAAACAGGAATAAACAGGACCAGTTTTCATCACTAAAACTATTTTAATACTGGTTGGATACTCTAGTCAGGAAATGGGGGGTGGAGTATATTAGAAAATCTCTTTATCGTATTGAGACAGTTATCTAATAAGAAAATATAGTCTTACTAAGAGCATTAAAAGTAAAAACAAGGAAATAGTCAAGGGCTATGGGTTAAAGCACAGCACTATGCTGTGCAATGGGTTAAAGTGCAGCACTCTGAAGCTATTGCAGAAGCATGGGTTCCATCCCCAGCC